ATGGTTTGATTTGTACACCTGCATACAGCTGGTGAAAATTTCGTGTCAATAGCACCTTTAGAAATATATTTACTGAGAAAAATGGTGACGTGTTTACCCGCTGTATTTGCTGTTTGTCACCATCTACATATTGTATATTTAAAATGCCACAACAGAAAGCCAATTTTTCTGAATATAGAAATTCAGTATATTGCTGTTGGGTGTATATTATGTGTTTTGGAATGAAATGATTGATGTTAGCTGTTGCCTTTTATGTGTAGGAGTTCTTTTTGTTTCAATGCCAGTTTGAGTGCGCAACATGTCCAAAACAGCTGCTGTCTGTGAAGGGAGAACTTCACAACCTGCTCATAGATAAAAACACTGAAGAAAAGCAACATTTCTCACTTTCACATTTGCTCCACCACTAACCAGTGACTGTCTACCACTGCCAACTGTAATAACGTCTTCAGGTCAACTTTTACACCAACACTGTCTTGTGGCAGGGCAAGTCTTTCCTCAATTTTAAATAAGCAGGGCAACATGTTTGCTCTGTGCAATCAAAGGGCTCCTTCGGATGTAAAACCAAAACAAAAGATCATTAAGTGCATTTACACGCACATCAATATTCAAATATTACTCCAGATGCATCGATTTCTTTTCATTTTTATGTTGTTGACATATACACATTTCCTGTGTACAATAATGACAAAAGGTTGATGCCAATATTAAAAAGAGTTTGCTGTTGAGTTTTTTTTGTCTTGCATACAGATAATATAGATTACGTACAGCAGGATATGAGCAGGTACCTGGAATATGTACTGTAAATGCACTCCTTTCTTCTTCTGTACAGAAGATTCACACATACAGGTTTTAATGGCCAATACAGCTGATAAATATGAAATATGCATTTTTTAACTGCATGAACATTGTGTTTATTTAAGACTTTTGACAAATGTTATTATTACCTCTGTACCTATCCAGGTGTGTTGGTTAATGTGTCAGGGAAAACTGTGGCAAAGGCCGCATCTGCACAAAATTGAAGAAAGGGTATTTAAAGTAGTAATAATGTAATTAAAATCCTTTTCTGCAGTAATTAAACTGACTGGGCAAAATTAGGATTGGCAAATGGTGATCTGAGACACACATATCCAAAAACAGACAGGAAAGTCATCTCCAGTGTTTGATTGACAGGTGATCTCTGGTATGTGTAGCACTGAAATCTGAACCAACGTCTGAAAAAAAATCCCTCACAAAATCCCCCAGTTACCATTTTAAAATATCTTCATTTTGTGCAAATACAGCCAGTAATTCAGTTTTGGATTCTGATGACATTTTGAAAAATATTTTAGAGTAATTAAGAGCACTTCAAAAGCCATATTACACACATGCTGTTTGTATAGTTGCTGCATTCTGAGCAGGCGAGCAGCCGATAAAGCACCCCATAGAATGCAGAGCTGCAGCGTCCTGTGCAGTCGGATTGGACTCTCTGGTTGTTGCAGGAATCAAACCTGGGATGGTTAAACATCAGGCCCTCCCGCTCAAGAGCCGGCCATGTTTTCTTCAACTCATACAGCGGCTTCTGTCTGATGTAAATTACATGTTGAGGAGTGAGAAACAGATACTAATTACTAGATTAAAACCATTTTTTCAATAAAAATAAATTAGTCATTCATTGTCATCGTTGATTTTTTACATAAATAACTATTTTAATAAAATCTAAACTGATTGGCCAATAGGACATGACTTTGTACAGTCCAGCAGCAACAGAAACAACGATCATCTGCGCTTTCTTCACAGTACAACTATCCAAATACATCCAAATGTAGACTTATTCAGAGAAAAGTAGTGACAAAAAAAACAACACATAGCTTTGTTGTGCAACTGACAGCTTTATTTTTTTGTACTGTTCCACTGCTTTACAGGTGAACTGACAATGTATGAAATCTGTACAGTGTTTGTAAAAAAAAAAAAAAAAAAGTGATGAACTTGAAGATTTCTGCTTTCTACCCATTTGTTGTATGGAAATTAAAAAACATAGCTCCATCTACTTTGTAGCATAAGTTCTAGTACCTTATATTATAGATTTTGTACCAATGGAATACAAAAACCCTGTTTTGTACAAATTAACATGCTGAGGATTTTTGTAAGGATCACTGAATAAAGTCATGAGGACAAGGTCAGGACGGTCTGAAGTGTTTGTTTACAATCAAGAGAAAAAACAAACATGCAAACATAAAGGCTGGAAGAAATTTAACACTAATTTTCCCTTTACAATCAACATGTTACTCCTTCATTGGGACACAAATGAGTTAAAAATTCAAGTAATATTGTAAAACACTGCATATAATGTAAACATTAATTGTCACAGAAAGAAAGATACTTCATAGTGTAGTGCAATGCTTAATTGATTATAATGCATTCTGGCACTGTGCTGATTCCATTAGAGCTGATAACCAAAAAACTATTTAAATCAATACTTCTGATTGAAGATACCAACATATTAGTACACTAATACACTTCATCACTCACATTGACTTCAGAACATAATGATTCTACAGGCACCAATGGTATTATCTGATCAGGTATACACAATCATCTTCAAAAGATTCTTTGTAAACATCCACAAAACATTAAAAAAGCTAAAGATTTGCTTTATAGTGTATATTTTACATAAAAGAGTATTTTAACACAGTATCTACAGTAGCCAGATTTGATATTCTGAGCCAAAATTTGCTACTTAGATTAAACAACTAGCAGATTGGCCTGAACCAAAAGGTGGAATACTTACACAAGAAAAGATAAAGCCATGAAAAAGATCACTCAAAGAAATCAACAGCATGACAGAGCTCACACAGAGGATCAGTTTTATTCCTCTCCTGTACGCATGCAATGGTGCAGACCATTTAAAAATATTGTTCCTTTAACTGCTTCAAGTCAATACTTTGACTGTGATATAAAATCATGTTTGGTGGCAATGCAAAAAGGCAACTCCAGCTTTGTGCATTTGATTGTCATCTCTCACGCTCACCTTTTACTACTGTTCTGACCCACAACCCACTTGTCTGGAGCAGCAGTGCGTGCTTGTGAGCTACAACTGCCAGGAAATCAGTGACGAACATGTACTAAGGAAAAGGCGGAGGTTACGCAGGCACAGCTGTAAAAAAGAGCCCAAGAGTTCTTAGGAAAAATTCTCAACTGTCTGTATTTTGTCTCGTCAACAATACAATAATGCCTCAAATAACGGTTAACCACAAAAACATTTTCCTGTGGGAGTGAGGATTGAAGTTGGTGACTGCAGATGGATCCTACCACATTTAAACTGAGTCTGGTACGGTTTCTAGTAACCTGGGTTTGAAAACAATGTTTATGACCAAATTCCAAAAAGACTAGTGTGAAATCATTCTTAGTGTGTGCGACACACCAGTATTTTTGTCAAGCGGTTGAATCTGCATTGTTTCAGGAAGGTGCTGATAAGTGATCTGCACAGACAAAACAAAAACTGCTACTAAGACTGCTTGGGTCAACACTCTGCCTGAAACCCAGGGTTGCTGATAATGAGTCACTTAGCAACAACAAAGATCACTCACGATTTGAAAAGGACAATCTATGAAGGCTGATGAGAAAGCGGTTTTGAAATGCAGTGGGGTGAAAAAAGAAGGCATTTAAAAGCACATGAGTTCAAATATATAGCTGTTCTGTTGTTGTGGTAGAAGTCACATTTTTCCATTGGGATACTAGACCATTGAAAACGTGTCAGTTTTAATGGGAAGGAGGGTTAAGGCATTATTTGTGTTGCAGCTGTTTTATATGGCTTATATTTGACTGTAGGCTTGTGCAGTTTGTAAGTCATATCAACTTCAGAGTGTGCAAACACAACTAACACAAAACACACACGAACATATCAAAGTTGGGGCATTGTTCACATTCAACAAGGTAATACTAGTCATTTATTGCTATTCCTCAGCAATCTTCCTAGCAACCATGTCGTGCCATCAGAAAGTTCCAGCACACGGCTGAACTTTATAAATGTCTAACTTTAAAACAATAAGGCAAGAAAATTTGTTTTAGTGTGGTTGTAAGTAAATTCTATAAAGTTTAGCCAAATTAGAAGTAAAATCAACTGAATTGGCTGGTCCAATCTGAGGAGTCACCTCAGTTAACCTGAGCTAAAAGCTGGTTTTAGTCACTGAACGCTTCCCAAACTAGGCAGGAGAAGGAACCATTATCAGGGTGCCTGAAAGTTTCATCACATTAGCTTTAAGATTACTTAAGACATAAACGATCTGAGAGGTAAACTGCTAAAATCAACTGCATTCAACACCATTATGGCCTTTAATTTAGATCATGTAGATCAGCCCTTCATAATTAGTAGTGTGCAACAGTGACACATCTAACACTGATACGCTAAGTTGTGTGCAAATCAACAAGACAACACGCTCACATTATTCATTTACGATATCAGATCAAAGGCAAAGTGATCAGCTCCCGATCAAACACACAATACACTGCTGTTGTTGTCTAATGACTGATTATGTTGTGAACTCTTTCTGACCCACACGTACCCTTTTACTCGAGTGCTGAAGGGCGCCGGCTGTTACTCCTCTCCTTCAGCTCCTCGCTCTCTCGGTTTATCTCTGTGTGTTGAGTGTCGGCGGATGGTACACGGGGACCTCTGGGTCGACGAGAGGAGGGCGACCTCTGATGGTGTCAGCAGTCTTCTCTGCTATCATGATGGTCGGAGCGTTCAGGTTGCCGCTGACGATGCTGGGCATGATGGAGGCGTCGACCACGCGCAGCCGCTCCAGACCCAGGACGCGCGCGTTGGAGTCGACGACTGCCATCGGGTCAGAAGGTGAGCCCATCTTGCAGGTGCAGGACGGGTGGTAGGCGCTGTCAGCTTTTCGGCGGACGAAGGCGTCGATGTCGGCGTCGGATTGGACCTGAGGACCGGGCTGGACTTCGGACCCACGGAACGTGTCAAAGGCCTTCTGAGCGAAGATCTCTCTGGAGAGTTTGACGCACTCCCTGAACTCCCACACGTCGATATCTAACAGGAGATAAAGAAGATACAAACTGATACATTAGGAATGTGCTATGAAACCCAACTGAAACTCACAAATGAGGTTTCAGAAAGTTTATTCTCTTGGGAGATAGAGTGAAGTTCTCAAGACCTTTGATGGACCTGGTACTGATCCATGACTGAACCTTACCTGTGGAAAGATAATTCGGCTGCAGAATCGGGTGATCTAGAGGATTGGCGCTCTTCAGCTTCATCCAACCGATACTTGTGCTTCTCATTGGTCCGACGTGAACCTGCGTCACAAACAGAATCACTTATTAATATGTTTCATATGTTTTACATTAATCAATAATCACAGTGTAGTTAACCTAGAAGGTATGGCTTTTGTTGTTTTTCCCTTTTGGAGAGCACAAGAAAAACATAAAACTATATTTATTTTGTGAAAAATGAAATAATACAATGTTACAACAATATAGACAAGCATAACAGATAATAAAACCAATAAAAACCAAAACTACTTTGTTTGGATGAAAAAAAAAGGTGACAACCTAAGCAATGGGTTAAAATCTTTTTTATCTAAATTATATTTCATCTAGATGGTTAGAAGAGTGTTTGAGGTTTCTGCAAATATAAAAATCAGTAGAGCAGTACATCTGTGAAAGAACTTCTGGGTCTTTCTGAGAACTGATTCTAGATTTCAGAAAAAAACATACATACTTTAAACCTTCTTTGTGCAATAAAAACCCCTCCTTTGCGTCAGGAGCAGCTACACAGATAAATCAAGAGTTAACTTATTCCTGGAAAACATCAGACTCTAAATCGTGTGAGGGGGGAAAGTAAAGAAACCACTGTTTTTTCTTGACTACGCCTACATCCAGTTCACACTTAAAAACCCCACTGTTTTATTATCTTTTCTAGGTCTAGGTAGGAAAACATTATGCCAAATGGTATCCCCTGTGCAAATTAAGAAAATGTACTTATAAAGACATATTTTGTAGCAGTATAATAGAAGCCTGATTTATGGAGCGTACATACTCAGAATCAGAATCAGAAATACTTTAATAATCCCCGTGGGGAAAGTATTTATTTACTTAATTATCTGGTAATGATGACATAATCTTTATTCGTTCCTGGTAGGTACACTTCTCTGAAAGAATCTATAAATAACATTGAGCAACTGCTAGCTCTTGTTGTTTCATTAAACACCTGTGTTAACTGTGGTTTTCCATGGAATGGACAACGTGTCTAAACACTCCTTTGTGGTCTTGTGCATTATGTGAAGGTCTTATCAGTTCCAGTGTATACAGGAAGAAGTCACACATTTCCCTGTGCAACAATATCATTAATCTTACATCCTGAAAGCTGCAACACACACCATGTGAAGTCAAAGGCAAACGACCTGTGTATTAATGACAAAACACAGTGACCGTCTCAACAACATTGCCACACACACCTGATACGCCTCTATCTTAGAGGCAACTCGTCCGTGGTCAATGACCTGCGAAGGCAGGAAGTGGAACTGGACATCGGGGTGTGTGACGTGTGGCCGACTGCGGATGAACCCACCGCTCTCCAGGTGGGCTGTAGCTCCATAGCCTATGGAACAATCATTGTGGTAAATGAGATGGTGGGATACATGAAAGACACTTCATACAGACACTGTTAGTGTTTATGGCAGTTTGCCCACTTTGTACTCTGTCCAAGTAAACATCACATTTCACACAATGATTCACGAGTCCTAATAAAGAATGCCTATTAAAATATACCTTTAAATGCTGTGGTAGACACCAGCTGTGACTTACAAGCTGTGGTTGAATAGCAAATGGGTGCTTTCCTGTTTTATTAACAGATTAAGTGAAATTTACTTGAAGGAAGGGGATCTTCAAATGATTTAAACTCATTTTTATGAATGTTTGTTCAGTGATATAAACAACTATTTTTGTAGAACATGTAAACAATGTGTGTGTTGTCATTTGCATGTGGCGGTGCCTGTGGTTACCGGTGAACAGAGTGAGCCACTCCAGGCCTATCTTGACCATGTGGAAAGGTTTCTGGGCCTTGTACAGGGTGATGGGCTGAGTGCACTGCTGCTGGACGTACAGCTCCAAATGATCCTGCAAGTTACTGCCAACACCTGACAAACAACAGAGAGAAGAGAGGACAAAGAGAGGCATGAATGTCCGTCATTATAATACTATGCACTCCAGGTCTGGTCTGTTTGAAAGTGTGAAATGGGTAAAAATGAGTCAATCTATCCGTGTTGGGTGTTTGATGTGTTTAACGTGATGTGTGAACACCTGCACCTCCTGGGTTACAAAACACATCTCTAAGTGCACAAAATGTACCCGGTAAGTGTTGAACAACAGGAATGTCAAGTTGTTTCAGGTCATCAGCGTTTCCTACCCCAGACAGCATAAGAAGCTGTGGGGAGTTGATTGCTCCTCCGCTCAGTATTACCTCTTTATCTGCAAACACCTGAAGAAAGAGCAGAAAAACCAATGTGTGAATCACTTAACAAGACTGCGAGTCAGCAACCGCGCTAGATGCTTTTGTGCTAGTGCTGAGATAAATGCTCATCATAATTATAACATGGAAATGTCAACCTTAATGGCGGAAGTCATTTGAATATATTGACAGGGAAACGTGAAGGTGTTGATTTTATAATATGATATATATAATAAGTCAAACACTCAGGCAGATGCATATTTTTTGAAAATGTCAAGGATAACACAAGAAAGTTAGAAAACAATGAATGTTGATTTTTTTACTAGATAAGTGAAAATTCTGACTCCGCTAGTGTGGCTAAAAAGATCTACGAATATTAAGACATAAGTAGTGATTTTTTTAACCAATATAACCTCTCACAACAACATTTTCTATTCCCAATCTTTTAAAATATAGAAATTCTTTCCATCTTACCCTTTTCTTTTGTCCATTCTGCGTGTATTCTACGCCCACCGCGCGGGCGCCGTCAAACAGGATCTTGGTGGTCAGGCAGCGCACCTCAGTCTTCAGGTTTGATCGACCCAGGACGGGTCTCAGGTAGGCACTGGCTGTGCTCCACCTCTTCCCTGGACAGATTTGGGCAGTGAGATGTTGACAATATGAAAGGCTTGGTTCATAAAATGTGTACATTACAAGTGTTCCCAATGGTTATTAGTTAAACATGTGTAGTTCCTAGTTATAGTAGTTTCTTTTTCCTTTAACCTTTATAAACGGTCATATCCATCCAGCCGAGACCCTCCTGTTGGTATCCGTTCATGTCATCGGTGAAGGGGTATCCAGCCTGCTGCCCCGCTTCAATAAAAGCCTTATGAAGGGGGTGGTTGGTCTTGCCTCTAGACACGTGAAGAGGTCCACTGCCTCCACGGTACCTACACAAAAAACACAAACTGAATGTGTCACAAAGATGAAAGCAGTGCTACCAGATCTATCCGTGGAAAATATCAAATCGGTATTCAACGATCAATACTGCAAAGATAATAATCCTATCAGCAGTGCTACTTTTCTGTAAGAAGTTGTGTTCAAGTAGTAATCAGATAACTCCGAACATTTCATTTACTTTCATGCCAGCAATCATCCAGTCAGACCTTACGAATAAACAGAGTGATCTCCACTGTGTCACTGACTCAGTGTACATCTACAAGCATCATTGTCTGATCACCCAGGATAAAACGGTAGGTACCGGTTTTCTCCCAGCTCATGACACTGAGCTTTCCTGAAGTACGGCAGACAGTGCTCGTAATCCCAACCCTCAGCCCCTTCTCTCTGCCAGCGGTTGTAGTCTTCAGCGTGTCCGCGGATGTACACCATGGCGTTGAGTGACGAAGACCCGCCCCAGACACGGCCCCTTGGCCAGTACATCACCCGGTTGTCCATGTGGGCCTGAGGTAAAGTGTGGTAGTACCAGTTATACCTGAGGAGAAATGAAAAGAAATACATTTGTGTTGCAGTAATTTGTGTTTATGCCCACTTGGGAACAGTATAGTGTGCAGTAATGAACAACAGACACTAGGGCAGACAAAGTAGCTTTATACTGCACTGCAATGATTTAACTACTGTACTTCTCATCACAGAGGTTGTAGGTCAGCGCAGCCGGCATGTGGATCTTCCATGACAGTCGTAAGCTGCCCAGCAGCTTATCCTTAGGCCCAGCCTCCAGCAGCAGCACAGACTCATGGGCATCCTCACTGAGGCGGTTGGCAAGAACGCAGCCCGCTGACCCAGCCCCAATGATGACATAACTGTAGGAGGGTGTTTTCTGACCGGGCGTAGCTGATGATGAAGCATTCAGATGAGCAGCTGTGGCACTAAAGCCTCTGAAAAGTCTGTTCCTGGGAACATATTGAGATTCTGAGAAACGGGTAAACTGGCACCTGCCGTCCCTCATAAATCTCCCTCGAGTCACGGTCACAACTCGTCGGGCTCCAGTTTGGCCTAACGTGGCCAAAGACAACATCGTGGTTCTGGGAGCGTTTTCTTTATTCACTGTAAATAACAAGAGCAACATTTAGGGAAGCACTGGAGGGGGCAATCCGGGTCTGCAACAGGAACTACTATATGCGATAACTGAATGAAATTTACATGTCCGCAAACACTGAAGGACAGCACAGGGAGGCTTTTGGTTGACATTTCATTAATTATTACTTGAGCCACACCTTTTCCTCCTCATAGCCTTAGCTCATACTGTTTAAATGACCCGCAGTTAAATGAAAAACTAGAAATTACTTGGAGCTGGAGCCCCGACTATTTGTCATGGTTCACTCACTGCTGCTGTGTCACAGTTGTTCGAGTCATCAAGTGCTAAATGCTTGAATCTTATTAGACAAATAGAGTCCTGTGTGTCTCAAAAAGGAAGAATCAAACACTCCTCTATGCATCAGTCTCACTTAGTGACTCATCCTGATAAAACCAGGACACTGCACAGTCTGCTTAAAAGTAAATGTAAATGTTTTGTGTTGAAGCTTAGTGTGTGTGTGTGTGTGTACCAAGTCCATTCTGTGTAAAGGGTTTCAGAGCAAAGGCTGCAATGAACTGTCTGCTCCTGTAAATATTCAGTTTAAGAGCTATTCAGTAGTGCGTTTACTCCGCAGAGAAAGTGCAGTCTTCTCAGCTTAAGACAAGGCAGGGATATCTAAGTAGGTCAGCACTGTTACACCAATAAAACAGACACTCACTAGCACTTTTATTGTCAGGCTGAACTTTGCAAACAGCCTGAAATGTGTAATAAACTGAAAAAAAGAAGACAAATCCCAACAAGCGTGTAGCAGCAGGATGCTAACCTCTGTTTTCAGTCTGAATATTAATGTTTACGATGAAAGGCCAATTTCGCAACCGTTAGCTTATCGGTCAATCTATAGGTCCACACCAGCACCCAGCTACATTAACGTTACATAACTTACATATTCCTGCTCGTTAAAACACACCGCAGATGCTCCAGACGCTTTAAAGTATGTTGGGACAGTGTTTAATATGTTTATAGGGATTAGGCTGATGTCGGCAGCGCCATTGAGACTTATTTCTAAGGTTAACCGTTAGTTTGATTAAACTCAGATGAACTATTGGACGCTATGGACGAGGCTCGCTGCAGTTTACACCGCAGTGAATAACTCAATGTAACTTTAACAAATATGTTTCATTTGACCCGACGTGGCGCCGGAGTAATGCCAACAAAGACAGAAAGACACTGTGTAAGGTGAATTTGGTGAAAAGTTAAGCAGCAGAAAGAGTCCAAACATACCTTTCTCGTAATGCACTGGGACTAGATGGCCACCCGGCGGTGGGCGGGGCTTATCGGGATGTATTTATAGGTTAACGAACAGCGTCTCACTGCATCTGCTTGCTCCAGTGCCCCGCAGGTAGGAGGTCACTCACAGACACTTTTGAAGATGCTGTGACTTGTAAATATGCCAGTATCTCTCATTTTTCTTCTACTTTTTTCTTAAGGCTGCTGCTGCTGCTGCTGATGATGATGATGATGATGATGAGGGGAGTCACACTGATTTTTGTCTCCTATGTCTGGGCCCAGGTGAACTCACAGGAAATTGTAAGTTATCGACTTCAGCAAGTTGCCTTCTTGTTTCAGTTTAAAGGGATTTATTCACCAGTAAGTAATCTATTGTTTTTTCTGATTTTTCTTTTTTGCAGAAAGTGGAGTGTCATGAATTTTATGGTATGTTGTGATGTTTATTATTCTGGGTGAGATATCCGATATAATATCAATAATAATGTTGGTTTGAAAGCTAAAGCCCCCATTCAAGCTTGTTCGATATAAAGAGGTATCTGTAGGTTACTGCAGAGACCAATCTTTTAAGCCTGTTGCTGGTATTTTGTATTGATAGTTTTATTTTTATTGGACAATATTTGAGCTTTCTTATTGCATTAAAGGCCCTACATGTGATTTATATTTATATATATATATATAATGTATGTGTGTATGTATCATCCAACATCATAGCCCTCAGTTTAGATTTGTTTTAACATTGCTATCTAGGGCTTTAAACACAAAAATCAATACAGTGGTTTGGACTAATATCACAAAACTAAATATTGCATTATATAATATATATATTTCTATATCTACATCTATATCACAAATGAAGACGCAAATTAAGACTGCAAAATGCTAATTATAAATGATTGCACTGTCAGGGATAGTTTGTTGAAAATGCCTGACTGAAATGTAATGCAATCAGTATCCTCACTGGTTTTCAACACATTTTATACTTTCCTTTCCAACTTTATTATTTATAATTTTTTTCCTGAAAAAAAAAAAAACTGAACAGACAGGTCGCTGGGAACAATACACCACAGTTCAGATGTTATTAGTACAGCAGTTTTTGATTTAGGCTGCTTTGTGTGAAGGCTTACTTGCCATTACTCACATAGCCCCAGGAAGGGATAGGCCTACAAAGAGAACAACAGCAGGGCAGCAAATTGGGATTGCGTCCAGTCCATATGCTCAGAGGGAATTAAAATGACTGCTGTCTTATGACATCAATATAGCAAATACACATACAAACCCAGTATGAGCCCACTGAATTAATACATCAGAGCAATAAGGTTATGACGGCGTTATGCATATGATTGTACGAGGAGACCACAGCCAAGAGGAAGGAAATCGAAGAGGAGAAAAAAAAACTCACATTTCCTTCCTTTCTATAAAATATATATATTTATGTGTATAAACCATTTGGACCAATACTTATGGAATTTATTGATACAAAGCTTTAGAGAAAAGGTCAGTTTCTCCATTTCATATATTTCCTTTATTATTGCTTTCTACTCTCCTTTTGTTGGTGGGTCCTTATCTAACTATTTCTTAGTTATTGCTTTTTTGATAGTTGGGTATTACCTAAATATATGGTGCCAAAACTATAATCCATCTCAAACCCATTATTGATTTTATTTCTGTTGCTATCTCTGGCCATTGAATTGTTACATTATGTCCAGCATTGCCCAGAATCTGCTCTACCATTCTGTAAATATTTTCTTCATGAAGTAATAAAGATATCCACTGACCAGAACTGGAGGTGGTGGATTTTTTACATATATTTAGCCACTCTTCTTCAGTCCGGGTTATGTTTGCTTCCTTCTCCCATTTCACTTTAACAGTTGTTAAAGTAGAGTGGTTCATTGAGAATTGTGTGCGGGGTATATTCTTAATACCAGTTTCATCTGTCTGTTGCCCCTGTATGCATTAATAAAAACATTTATGCGACTCAGTTTTGTTTTCTCATTAAATGTAATATTTCTATCAAATTGGTGCCAAAGCTGTAAATGAGGGTAAAAGTCCTGTTCTCTAAATTGTGGGTGTAATAAACATACTGAAAGCTTCCCAAGCCTGTATTAGTTGAGTTTAAGCAATATGAAGTAATGCTTTTCCAAATTAATTGTTTAAACCTCAGGTTTAAAATCTCTATCATATGCCAGGCGAAAATTTCGCCCGGCATATTCTCAGAGTTCCAGATCCTTGTTACTGTGAATATAATGTTTTTACATTCAGTGTTACATTGAGGTGTTTCCACATAAACTGAGAACAGAGAGTACTATAAACCTCAAGAGCTGAATTACAGAGAACATCTGATTAAATCTCAGATAATAATATTGTGAACATTATCAATGTGTGAATCTCTTGTTCCAGATTTACCTCCTGTCAAACATATCTCTCCATCTTTTCTGGCGGACTTGAAGGTGGAGCTGCTGACAGGGGCAGAAGGATATACACTGAACATAAGCTGGGAAATAAACATTGATGGTAGGAAACAACACGTTGTACTTTTTACATGTGAAAACAAGGTAGTTACCATAACACAGTTCTCTGACATGGCATCTTCAGAATTGATATTAAATGCATATTTTAAATATAATAAAATAGCTTACTGATTAGTACTGATTACACCTCCAACTTTTATCTGATAACAGAGTTTTCCCAGAAACTCTTCATTTTATTTACTTGATAAACAGGACTTTAGTCTGATTGAGGTGACACTGCGCAAGGCATAAAAAAACATTTATATTCAAATATTTTTACTTGGTACACACTCTATGATGAAGGTGAAGGACACTGACTGGTTGATATCCGAAGTCAACGCTGGCAAACTGATATTTTAAACTCTATAAACCCTGACATTTTCTGTCTCTCTGCAGCTAGTATTCAACATCTGACAGGCACTCGGATCGTAATTGACGGTGAAACACCACACCACTGTAGATACAACCCACCTTTGGCCAACCTGACTACATCAATGCAGGTATTATGGATGGAACCTTGACTAGAAATAATCTTGTTTAATCAGCAACTGACAGCATGAACTTTGAATTGACTGGTTTGTATGTGAGGTTGAAAAGTTTACACTCAATGCAATGATTGTCATCTTTTCAAATCTAGAAATGGTTTCATTATTTAGTAAGAGTAAGCTATGGCCACACCACCATCCAAGTTGCCAATCTCCCTCTGCCTCAAAAGGGGAGTGGCTCCGCTTACAAGAGGGACACCATTAAAATACCTAAACAGCGTAAGTTCCTTTTTGTTATTCTTCACTTTTTTAATACTCAGCAACAGTTAGTTCATTATGCGAATTGTGAGGCTGTGTCCAAACATTCCACTCAAACTGTGTTAATAGCACATTATAACAAAATACTATGCTATGTGATTTGTACAATATATGTAAGAGATATAAATGTATTTTGAGTTAAAGGTCCAGTGTGTAACATTTAGAAGGATCTGTATATTTGTATGTATGTTTTAATTTGTCACCTCAAAATAAGAATCGTGTTTTCGTTACCTTGGTATGAACCAGTTTTTTATCTACAGAGGGAGTGAATCCTCTTCTATAGAGTCCGCCATGTTAACAGCCACCTACGTGCTTGGCACAGGAGGGTGAGGCGAGAGTGTTGTAATCTGCAAGTACACTGCTAGACGCCACTAAATCCTACACCCTGGTCCTTTAAGGATGC